AAATTGAGATGTGTTACAATAATAACTCTCCCCGACTCACCAAGTTGAGATGTGTTACAATAATAACTCTCTCCGACTCACCAAGTTGAGATGTGTTACAATAATAACTCTCTCCGACTCACCAAGTTGAGATGTGTCACAATAATAACTCTCTCTGACCCACCGAGTTGAGATGTGCTACAATAATAACTCTCTCTGACTCACCGAAGACGAGAAGGTAATAAAGGAATGTTATTTTACTTAAGACATATCTAAAATATAAAAAGAGCTAAATCATCGTTATTTAGATTTATCTAAACATGTTGTAAAGTTTGCATAATTGGAAGGCAATATTGAAAATTATTAAACCCTCAAGTATTATTCAAAGAATGCTTCAACAAGTATTACATATATAATTATATCTATATGTTCAACCTGAACGGTACCTTATGCGGAAAGTGGAATTACCAACCAAATCAGAGAACCTTCCCTAATTTTGAACTACTGACCAGAGAGGAAAGGCAGCCAATCAGCACCAGCAATTACCACAGAGGATTTGAACTTAATAAACGGATTATCTCTCGCCTTTACATCCACAGTTGAAACTGCGAATCGTGTTGAGCAGTATTGAGGCCGAACCATGGAACTTCCGATCCTTAGTCCGGTACGCAAACCATTAATTCATGCACTCTGTTAGGCACATATAAAGCCCATTGCCTTATACTACCCCCCTTCATGAATGAAGTAGTGAATGTCAGAGCTAAAATATAGGAAAATGGCTGGGGCTAACTATATTTATACGTGATGTTTAAATGCACTAAAAATAGGAAGTTATTTCTAGTATATCATAAACTATCGAAATCAGTCTTTGTGATATTCCCTATGATTTTCAGGGTTGCACTAGTTATATTAATTGATTGTTAATATGTAAATCAGTGAATCACTTGATATAATGTCGTGATAGAACGGTACGTATCATAATTACAAATTTCACGTACGTTATAAGATGCCACCAAAAATAAATCACCTTGGGGAAGGGCAAGTAACAGACTTTTTCCGTATTAAAAGATTTTCAAACACTTAGATCACAAAGATGTGTTTAAATTAAGGATTTATAATTTCCAAGATGAGGCATTGGAAAAAAAAAAGAAAAATGGATCATCTTGGAGGGTAGGACCTTGCATGGCACGGCAATCTGCGGGTCGCAGGTTTGAATCCTTTCACCGAACATGCTCGCCCTTTCAGCCGTGGGGACATTATAATATGATTTCAGACAGAAATCCTTCTTGATCATGTTTTGATCTGTTGCGTACGGAATGTGAATGGCTTTTTTTTGTTGCATATGGAATGTGCTCATGAGTTCTTAGCTATCACAAGACTCCTTACTTTGCTTACAACGGCTGGGACTCGACTTGTTGCAGGTCTCTTTTAGGATTACCCTGATTGGAGGTAGGGGAAACAGTGATAAATTTTATGTTCACGATTGTCAAAGTCACAACACTCGGTGTAAATAATTGATCATGAAAAAAGTAAAATCACTCAATTTCTGTATGCTGATCCTTAAAGAACTGATCATGAAAAAAAAGTAAAATCACTCATTTTCTGTATGCTAATCCTTAAAGAACTGATCATGAAAAAAAATCACTCATTTTCTATATGCTGATCCTTAAAGAACTGATCATGAAAAAAAATCACTCATTTTCTATATGCTGATCCTTAAATAATTGATCATGAAAAAAAAAGTAAAATCACTCATTTTCTATATGCTGATCCTTAAAGAACTGATCATGAAAAAAAAGTAAAATCACTCATTTTCTATATGCTGATCCATTTAAAACAAACAAATCAATACAGTAATATACAGAGCTTCATTTGCCATATCGTTTCATTTACTTGTAGGATTGGGATGGTCAGTTATGATAAGTAAAGTATCTGCTCAATTTTATAATCATGTTGTGAGAGATGACCATATATTTAAATAAAGATATTTAATTATATGACAGATAGCAATGAGGTAAAAATGAAAAAAAAAATGATTGCAATTTTTATGTATGTATACACATCAATAATGTTTACATATTAAAATAAAGACTTTAGAAATGTGTACTACAAACACTTGAAATATTTTAATGCTAATTTGATGCACAACAGCATGACATTATACAATCCATTTCAATTATAAGTGGTAAACATTTATATAAAAAAAAAGAATTGTAGCATTAACAAATTCTCTAAGGAGAAGACAATTCAATTATTTTACTGGAGGCAACTCAAACATTACTCTCTTTGTAAAAACTACTTTTTAATGTTTGAGCCTGTGTATGCTGATTACATAAGTATTCACACATAAAAAAACAACCCCAGTTGGAATGGTTTAGCAATAAACCTACAGGGAATATAATCAAGCTTTCTGGGAAAGTAAGCAAGCAGTAAATAAATTAGGATAGAAATAATATAATCAGAAGGGTAGTGGTTTTAGTAGTGGTCTAATGTTTCAGTGAACCTATCTTGAATTCATTGTAGGGTAATAATTAAAACCATGGACCTTGTAAAATGAATAACAATATACAATAAGATTTTTATTTAATTTTTGCAAACATTTTTTGTTAAATTCTCTTTCCATAAAAGATAAGAAGTAAAATATAAATATACAAATTATCTCTCAAAGTCCTTATTAATGGTTAATCTATTAATGACTTTGTAGTTTGTATTTTAAACCTATAGGCTGAACATCACCAAGTGAAAATCTTGGGATAAATGACCTGGTCAGTAGCTCCTAAGATTCAAGATAGCCATCCCAAATTTAAAACTGCTGACCAAGGGGTAGGCAACCAGACAGCAGCTATCTTACAGGATTGAGTGTCATAGTTATAATTCCCTAATAGCTAAAAATGTTAAAAATGTTTAGCAACACATCAAGACTTCAAACATGGCTCCTCCAATTTGCAGTCCAGCAAGTTATCAAGAGGCCATGTCCAGCCCAACTAAAACTCCTTCACAACAATTCAATTCAAACTTCAGTAACTAAAATACTTCATAGTCTATGTCCATGTTAGAGCTTATAATTTTTTAAGAACACATTTTTTTTACATTGTTTTCATTATTTTCCACTTGTTAATTGATGTGCATACACACAAAAAATTAAATTGAAAAATGCATAATTAAGTTCAAATCCTAAAAAGGTGAGCCATAGAAGAAAGATAAATTGTTAATTCATGAATACATTGTCCTTGCTTTTATTTATTTTATTACCTAGCCAAAAATCCAACCTTAAACACTGCTAGTTTAAGGAATACATGTGCATATAAAAAATACATAAAACGTTATACATAATACATACAGTTCTAAAATAAAAATATATTTTTTAGAAAAATTATCAAATATGCATGACATAACATCTTCTAAATAATAATTCAATTGTATAATGTTAACTTGAAAAAACTCTTGGAATAAAAATTTGCTTTCTTATAGTTGCAACTTTAAAATAGTAAATGAAATCTATCCTGTAGCAATGTTATAAGTATAGCTTAAACATGACTCATTTCTTGCACACTTGATTAGCTGAAAATGTTAAGTATATTAATATCTTTATTGTTATCAACCCTTGTTAAAATTAATAAAAGCATCTATAGAGTTAGCTCTCTGTTTTTGTGGTAATTTATTTTGATAGTATGTATGTATATGTACATACGTAAATGAAGTTCATTTCATGAATCAATGTAAATATATTTTCTAACAAACCTTGTTATAAGCAAAAAAGTCAATATGCGAAAAGGAACTCTGGGACTGGAGCTTGAACCCAAGACCTTTATTTAACAGGACCAATGCTATTTCCATTGAATTTCTTTACTAATTGATTGAAGTTCCATTTGAACAACTTACAGAAAACTCATTAAAAATATTTCCTTTTCATTAATCATAGAAGACTCGCCTAGATTTTAGTATGGAACATTTTCAGTTTATTTGTGATATATAAGGATGAAAAAAGGCCATAATGATATGTCTTTTGGCTGCTTTTCTTGATTTGTAGTACACCCATAGTTTTGTGCAATCTTGGAAGAGATTCATCTTTATAAAACAACTATATTTTATAATTGCATTAACTCATTACCTTAAACTAGAACCAGCTGCAGAGTTAAAACCAGATTTATTTGTGAAATAAAAAAAAAAACAGTTTAATTAGGAAAAAAAGTATTTCAAAGTATAATGCAAAATATGAGATTACAAAACTCTAAATCATATAACTTCAGAAACATCTAATACAAGTAAACATTTTCAATGTTCCAGCAAAACTGGATAATTCTTCCTACATAACCGTCCCTGTCAACAATACTGTACATGCAGTTTTACATCTCATTTTTCTATTGACAGCAGTTACTTCATACAAAAGAATTTTTCAATAATGAGAAGTTATTTGAAACCTTCAAATTTCTATTTATCAAGCAAAGTATTCATATTACTTTGGTAAATATCAGTTTACAGGTACTGAATATTCACACAACTTAATAGTTAATCCAAGTATTTTCAAAGCAATTTCATATAAGGAAATAAAAAAAAAAGATTAAGTAATTAAGTGAAACAGAAGAACTAACTGGATCTTCTACATTTACTGCTTTGATTGACAGAGATTCACAAACACCTCTGTCTGAGCAATAGATGAGATCAGGTTTCTATCTTAAGAATCCTGATAACAGTGGATCATAACTTTGATGGCTCCACCTTCCCCCGTCTTTGAAGTTTCAAAAGCTTTCAAAGAATCCTCCAGTTTAAAGTGATGGGTGATCAGAGGTTTCACGTTAACTTTGCCAGAGGCAACCAGATCCAGAGCAATAGGATAACTAAATGATAAATACACAGGCATGCAATAATTAATGCTTTTATATGTAATGATTAATTTACTGAACTTCACAAAAAATAATTTTGAAAACTTAACAAAAAAAAAAAATACACCACAGGATGTTTGTTTAACCTTTATGGTGATAAAAACTGGCTATGCCAGACTTGGAAATAAATGCTACTTCATGAAAAATTCTGTGAAAAACCTATTTCTAAATATATTGAAGTTGTGCTTAAATATTAAACATTAATTAGAGAGAAAAAAAAATACACACACATGTACAGAAAATACTTTTCTTATAATATTTTCTGTTTATAAAAACATTGTGGACTGAGTTTTCTATGGTAATGTTTTGAACTCAGTACTGACTCCTTCATCAGAGGACCTGAAACATTGTCAGCAGAAGAAGTCCATAGAAAAACTCAGTCTACTAGCTGAACATACTGCCTAAATACTCTTCAAAATTTATTTGCTCACATTTCTTCATTAATTAGCAAGAGCTAAAACATTTTTCTTGAAGCAAGAGTTGTGTGTTTTAACTTATTTGGGAATCAATCATAGCATTATAATTTTTCAGTGTATCATTCTTTTACAAGTTGCTGGTATTTTGCTTTTGTTGCAGTAAGAATGTGAAAGACACCTGTTAATCCAAAATGTGATAAGGATGTAGCATAATGAACACTTTTAGCCTAACAAGAGTGCAAATAACTTTGTTTTATATTAGACATAATGACTGTTTTTTTTCATATTGCTGTTTGGTAAGATCAAAGAAGCATAATAAATTGATGGTTAAAGAATATAAATATGCTATTAATTATCATAACAAAAAATATTAGCAAACTGAGTCAGAAGAATTAAGATATTAGATGATTTTCATGTAACTAAATGACAGCTCTAATAGATAACATAAAATACAGAATTGTATGTTCATTGCTAATTAAATATATATATATATATATATATACACACACACGTGTACTTCCTGTGCAACAATATAGTAGAAAGTAGTAGCATTTACTTGTTTCTTTAGTAATGTCCATAATTTTTTTTCCTAAATATGCCAGTGATTCATCTGTATCAACACCATGTATGGTGTTACTTTAATAAATTCAGGCAGGTGGTAGCACTGCCTATGTAGGGATGGCTCAAATTGTCCATCAAAATGTTATTCTAAATATCTCCTCAATAGGTCATCAGAACTTTACAATACTATACAGTGTTTCCTTTTATGACAATATCTATGTAATGACTGAGTCACAAGTTCTGTGAATGTCTGTAAATATCATAGTAAAAAGTTTGAATTTCTTCTTGTTTATTACACGATAACTCAAAACCCAAAACAATAGTGTCAACCAACTTACTAAGGTGACATAGATTAAAACTGAGTATTGGCATTTATAAGTATTATTAATAACCAATAGTAATTTTTTAAAAACACAATTCTAGTGTAAACAAGGTTATCATTACCCTTGAAGTTAGCTTTCTTACAGAAATTTGGTGATAAAGGTACAAAGTGAAACAGGAATTACCAGCCAATAATAGATAAACAATAAATATTACAGTTGGAACCATATTGTATTTAGAACCTAGTTACAAATACAACCTTCCTATGTCTATTGAAACACTGCATTAAAAAAAAAAAACAAGTAAAGAAAAAACTTTTCAAAAAGGAAGTAAATGTACGGATGGCTAATATCAATCCTTCAAAAACAATAGAAACATCATCCCTACATAATAACACAGGCAAGAATTAACATATAGCAATATATACAACTATTCAATAACAGTTGAGTTTAGTTGATCATATTTTTGTCTGTTAAGATTCTACTACACTGTGAGCCTGTGCTATTACGTAGGTAGGATGCAAATGCCATCCCTATTATCTTGTTTGTATTCTTTTGAAGGATTGATATTAGCCATCCCTACATTTACTTCCTTTTGTAAAAAGTTTTTCTTTACTTGTACAAATTTAAAACTTGTAGTTATCAAAATAAAACTTCTTTGTATATATATATATATATAAAAATGTTTTAAATAAACAGAAAATAAAAATTTAGCAAATTAGGAAACTTTTTCATGTTGACTAAACTTCTTATAAAATTATTTTTATTTTTACATAATAACAACTGTGTAGGACCTGTATATCAAGTTTTATATGTGAATAGATGTAACAGTTTGATTTAAAAGTCACTTTTAATGAAGCACAGAGAAGCAACACTACACCTACATATGGTAAACTCTAAGGGTTGAATAAAAATGACAGATGTTAATTTGGGTAAACCATAGAACTCAATTGTTTACTCATTTTATTGTTTAAAGATTGATGCAAACTAAAAATACCTACAGTTACCCAAAGAAAAGAACTGTTACTCACCAATTTGTATATCGAAAAATTCCCCTTATATCAACTTCACGAACTGCTGCACTAACAATAGGAATTGTTACTTCAGGAGGACCCATTCCTATTAGTACAACAACTCCTCCACTTTTTGTAGCCTAAACAATAATTGTAAAATGATTGTTAAATAACTGAAAAATAATTAGTGGAATAAAAACATTAAAGTAATCATATTGTTGATGTATTAGTCTGTTATTTACAAAAAAATGTTTGGTATTTTGTTAATGCACTGTTTTCTCCCTTTTCAACTACCCATTGCTACATGTACCTATTTTTGAATTTTAGGATTTTTAAAATAAGTAGCTTAGAGCTTTAATAAAATAGTGGTTCTCAAAGTGTGGTCTGGAGATGAAAACGTTTCAGAACCATTAACTAAATAATAACAACTAATTCACCATTAATTCTATATTCCTATTTCATCAATGCTAAGTCAGTAGTAGTTGTTCTTTCAAATTTGTTTTGTCTATCACTACTAACAAATTAAGAGATGTAAACACTGGAAGAGAAAAAGAAAAACATGAAGAAAAAAAGAAGGAAGGAAGGGATAGATATAGTAGTAGTAATTGTCAAACATAAAACAGAGACAAAAGTAAGAGAAAGAAAATATACATGCATACGTTTTCTATCTTTTTTGTCATTCAAAAATAGTTTGTTTATTTTTCTTACCAAAATTGTTAGAATGATACTGGATTCAGCTCCACTACATTCAATGGTAACATCTGGAGCTCCTCCTAAGGCCTCATGTACTTTAGTTACCAGTGCTTGGGCATCCTTAGTGTCAACCAGAATAGTGTGATCTGCGCCAAGTTTACGAGAAAACTCCAGACGACTACTTGAAATGTCTAGAAGCATTTTGTTCAAAAAGAAATATACATATCTTCAATTATCTAAAAGAAATGTTTACGAGTTCCACATATAGTGAAGTAAATTCATGTTTATTATATTTTACAGTTTACTGTATATATTCCCGAAGATCACATTTTCCTTACCTAGAAATGTTTTACAGATAGATAGATACTTCCCCCCTCCACAGAACATATAGCTATTACCTCACGAAATGTTTTTGTACATGCACCAAGCCTTGGAATGAAACTCCCACTTCTCATATAATAATGTGTACTGCACCAGTCTATAATGCAGGCAGCATTAAACTATACCCATACACCAACAGGAGGTTGCTACATACTCAGTATTCTTCTTGAGCACTTTATGTATACCAAAGCTTATTCTTTAGGTAAGGAAAATGTTAACTTCAAAACCTACTACTACTTGATTCCCCACAGAAAAGATAGATAGAATATCACATTGAAAGTATGGTGGAGCGACTAGTGTAAAGAAATACATTTAAAAGCTGGGCTTCTTTCTGAGAATATAGTGACAGAAAGGGAAAACCCATGGAGTGTGTCCACCACTAGTGGGCAGGGGAGAGATACAATGGAAGCATCACTCAGTGGGAGACCACATTCATCACAAGCAGGAAATACACTATTCCCAATACAGGTGGTGGTTCTAAGGTATTGTAAAGGTGGCAGGAATGTGAAGGCTACTTCGCCATCCCATATATCTCAGGGGGTTGGGACTAGGGTAACATGTCAAGTTGTACAGTATGAGAATAATACTTATGTGATATATTTATAAGAATGTGTAGGCACAGAGACGAAACTTCTCCGAACTGCATTCTGAGTGGAACTCAAGACCCATCCAGCTAGTTAAACCAACAAATATGATTCAGTCTTTAGTGTTGAGAGTTGCCTGTACAACATTTCCAAGTAGACACTCCTGCCCTATTTTTAATTGAGGGATGTGTCCTCTTGGTTTCATAACAATGAATAATACACTGACCTAAAGGGGGAACTCTCCAGACTGACCACACCAGTAACATGGTGCTGTGGAACTAACAGTTCTTCTCTCCAATAGAAGAAATAGGAGATAGGAACTCACATAAGGAAGAATGGCAGAGAAATGCATAGATCAAACCAGAATAATCTTGTAATCTGTACAACATTGAGAAATTATGCAATGGGTTACTACAAATAGAGACAGCAGGAGCTGAGTAGTGTGGATTTGGAAACCACACTCTTTGCTATCCATTTTTTGTTTTCATGTGCATGTTCAGTACAGCTTGGAAGGTCAACGTGTATATAATCCTGAAACAATCTTGCAGAAACCTCATCTCATCAGCAGGTTTCGAGCAGGGGCAGATGAGCTGAACACCGTATGTTATCTCCTATTTTATTTGGATTTCGGGAGAGAGAAAAATATAATTTCATATTGGTATACTAAAGAAAAAAATAAAGTATTGTATTATGCGGACAAAAATGCTTACAATTGGGGCACACTAGTATTTTCTCTCACATTATGAAAAAGTTCATGTTTTTACATACTAGTCTATATTACACAAAATACACATTAGAATCATGGATATGTCTTTGATTTACAATTCATGAAAACTAATTCATAAAATGATTTAAAATTTAATATACTTTTTTTTTTCAAAACCAGGATTAAGATTGTAGTACCCAAGTTTTCTACTTTCTGATTGTAAAAGGTAATATTACATATTTTAGCTCACATTAAATAAAAAATACTATACCATGGCAGTTGATAACTACGTGTTTATGTAATGCCAGCTGTAATTGGTCAAGTTATATAAATATCAATACAAACACAAAATGTACCAACTGAAACTTTCTGTATGTTCAGGTGTGAAGGTTGAGCAAACACAGTGTACCAACTGAACCTTTCTGTATGTTCAGGTGTGAAGGTTGAGCATACACAGTGTACTACTTGAACCTTTCTGTATGTTTAGGTGTGAAGGTTGAGCACATATAGTGTACCAACTGAAACTTTCTGTATGTTCAGGTGTGAAGGTTGAGCATACACAGTGTACCAACTGAACCTTTCTGTGTGTTTGAGTGTGAAGGTTGAGCATACACAGTGTACCAACTGAACCTTTCTGTATGTTTAAGTGTGAAGGTTGAGCATACACAGTGTACCAACTGAACCTTTCTGTATGTTTAGGTGTGAAGGTTGAGCACACACACAGTGTACCAACTGAACCTTTCTGTATGTTTAGGTGTGAAGGTGCTCTGAGCACACACAGTGTACCAACTGAACCTTTC